GTGCCATTGTTAGGCAACCAACATGACAGCAGCCTCGTGGTGACTTCACCTGTCATGTTAGGGCAGTCAACATGTGGGTGTCAGATTATAAAGTATCACAATAAAAGACCTGGAATAAAACACTCTTATTTATTCATCCTTATACCCTGGCAGGTTTACCAGGATATTACATGGTGTCAGGTGTTTATTCGGGCTAAATAGTCTACGAGTTTTACACGTTTTCTGATGTTATTTTGTGACTAATATGGAGAATTTGTGTAGACCTCCTGAACCGTTGAACCTAGATGGAAATATAGCGGAAAACTGGAAAAGATTTTCACAAAAGTTTGAGTTATTCCTGACAGCCACAGGATTGCTGGATAAGCCAGAAGCACAGAAGATAGCCGTATTCTTGAACCTTGTGGGTGATGAAGGACTGGATCTTCACAATAGCTTTACATACACAGAAGAGGAAAATAAGAAACTAGAATCAATCATAAAGAAATTCGAAGATTACTGCTCGCCGACTGCTAATTTAATATTTGAACGATTTAAGTTCAATAGTGTAATGCAAACTGAAGGCCAAACATTTGACAACTTTCTCACAGAGCTGAGAAAGGCAGTAAAAACTACTAGTTACCAAGACCAAGATGAAATGGTAAGAGATAGAATAGTAATGAGCATATGGGACAAAAATACCCAAGAAAAACTATTAAGAGAACCAAAGCTAACATTAACAAAGGCTATTGAATTCTGTAGGACAGTTGAGGTCAGTAAATCACAATCCAAAGCTATTCAAAATGAACTAGGGGTTAATGCATTAAGAAGTAAGCCATCATCGTCCTCAACACCTAACTTGAACCAGAGCAGTTGCCATAGATGTGGATACAAACACAAGAAAAATGCAAATTGCCCAGCCACAGGTAAAAGTTGTGCCAAATGCCAAAAGCCAAATCACTTTGCTGCAGTATGTAAACATGATGAAAAGAAGAAAGAAAAGAATAGAAGCTGGAAACAAAAAAATGTGCACGTGGTAGAGGAAGAAGATAGTGATAGTGTATGTGATGTACATTGCCTAAGTTCAATAAATGTAATAGATTCAGTAGGTTCAACATGTAGAAAAAGTGAAAGTGTTTGGAAGCAAAAGATAAACATAGGACGCAGTCATGTAGAATTTAAACTAGATACAGGTGCTGAAGTAAGTGTTTTGCCATATTATGTTTTAAAAAACCTGAAATTAGAAAATAAACTAAAGAGAACATCAGTAACCCTGTTATCTTATGGTAGTCCAGATTTCAAAATTAAACCTTGTGGAGAGATTAAGTTATTATGCAAAGCTAATAAGTGTGAAAGTATGATTAAATTTATTGTTGTTGATTTAGATAATCAAATACCCTTATTAGGGCTACAAGGGTGTTTAGAATTAAAATTAATAGAACGGTTAGCTCATGTAGGACAGGGTGTGGATGTTGTTTTTAGTTCATTAGATAACGTAAAAAAGCAGTATAATTCAGTTTTTGATGGTTTAGGAGAATTTCCTACTGAGTACCACATAACCTTAAAAAGCAATACTAAACCGTATGTTCAGCCCCCCAGGAGGGTACCTATATCACTTCATGATAGACTCAGACATAAATTAAAACAACTTGAAGATCAAGGTGTCATTGAAAAAATAGAAAAACCAACTGAGTGGCTGAACCCATTAGTAATAGTTGAAAAGAAAAATGGCGATTTAAGGTTGTGTCTGGATCCTCAACGTTTAAATAATGCGATACAACGAGAACACTTTTTAATACCTACAGCGGAAGAAATTGCAGTCAAGTTGTGTGACAAAGAATACTTCACTGTCTTAGATATGAAAGATGGCTATTTTCAAGTCAGGTTAGATGGTCAAAGTGCTGATTACACTGCTTTTGGAACCCCATTTGGGCGGTACCGATTTCTTAGATTGCCCTTTGGGATTTGCTCAGCACCAGAAGTTTTTCAGAGGAAAAACTTTGAAATATTTGGAGATTTAGACGGAGTGGGACTATACTTCGATGATCTTATTGTGACAGGCTCAAATGAACAAGAGCATGATCAGAACCTAAAATTGGTCCTAGAACGAGCACTAGAATACAATATTAAATTTAATAGCTCTAAAGTTCAATTTAAACTAAAATCAGTAAAGTTTTTGGGACAAATTTATTCAAAAAGTGGAGTTGAATCCAACAAAAACTATGTTAGAGCAATTTCAGAATTGCCTAGGCCTAGTGATAAAAAAGGATTATTGAGAATTTTAGGCATGGCGAAGTACTTGGGTAAGTTTGTGCCCAACATGTCAAAGGTAACAGCCCCATTACGTGATCTCACAAGGCTTGATGTTACATGGGAATGGGATAACATCCATGAACAGTCTCTGTTCCAGCTTAAACACTTATTGACGACATCACCAGTACTGAGATATTTTAACTCTAAAAAGAAATTGAAATTGAAACTGATGCTTCAAAGGATGGACTGGGTGCATGTTTGTTGCAAGATGGGCATCCAGTGGCATTTGCATCTAGAAGCTTATCTAAAACAGAGCAAAAATATGCCCAAATTGAAAAAGAAATGCTAGCGATTGTCTTTGCCATTCAAAAATTTCATTATTTTGTATACGGACAGAAGGTCAAAGTTCACTCTGATCACAAACCACTAGAAGTCATATTTAAAAAGGATTTAGCACGGATATCTCCAAGATTACAAAGAATGCGTTTAAGATTGCTTGACTATGATTTAATGGTCTCATACAGACCTGGAAAATATTTATATATTGCGGACACACTTTCTCGTGCATTCCTCTCAGAAAAAGGATTCAAAAGTGACAATGAATTTGAATATGCGGTGCATGCAGTAGTCAAAAATATACCCATGTCTGAAGAAAGGAAAGTACAGTTTGCAAATGAGACACAGAAAGATGAACATCTAAAAGCAGTAATTGAGTTCTGCATTAATGGATGGCCAGAGAGCAAACAGGAAGTACCAGAGTCGATACGACATTATTTCAAAGTGAAAGAGAGCCTTATCTCTATAGATGGACTATTATTGATGTCTGATAAGGTCATAGTGCCCCAGTCACTGCGTTTAGAAATGTTGAAATTGCTGCATGAGGGTCACATTGGCATTGAAAAAAGCAAAGCTCGTGCGAGACAGATATTATATTGGCCAGGTATTAATTCTGACATTGAACATCACATCAATGCATGCAGAACATGTGAGTCGAATGCACACAAGCAACAGAAGGAAACTCTGCAACTGTACCCAATTGCTGAGCGCCCTTGGGAACGCCTAGGCCTAGATATTTTTACATATGCTGGAAATAGCTACCTAGTTATATTTGATTCATTTTCAAATTGGTTGGACCTGCATTTGATAAAGAATAAATCTTCCAAAGCTGTTATTGGGGTATTAAGAAGAGTGTTCTCTGTGTTTGGTTCACCAGATTGTATAACATGTGATAATATACCATTTGATAGTTTGTATTGTAAAAATTTTGCGAGAGAATGGAATTTCAAAATCATCACTAGAAGCCCGAATTATCCACGCTCCAATGGCCTCGCTGAGAAAGGAGTAGGAATAGCAAAAAATATAATTAAGAAATCAGTAAAAGAAGGTGATATTGAAATCTCATTGCTGCAATACCGTAATACACCTCTCAAGCATATTGGTTACTCCCCGTCTCAATTGTTAATGAGCCGGATTTGTAAAACTAAAATACCTATTAGTTCAGAGTTATTGCAACCTAAGTTATGTGAAAATGTGCTTGAGAAGCTGCAACATAGGCGCAATACATATAATAAGTATTATAATAGAAGTGCCAAAGAATTACCACCGTTAACAAATAATACTGATGTTACAGTATACAATCATGTTCAGAAGAAGTGGGAACCAGGTCAAATAGTTAGCCAACATGGGACACCAAGGTCTTATATGGTTTTAAATGAAAATGGAGACACAGTCAGACGCAACAGAGTAGATTTAAGAGAATCATTAAATGTGTTCAAAACAGCTTCTGGACATGATAATATACAATGTAGTCTGTTCAATCCTGATTCAAGTGACCCGCCCCAGTGTGAAGTGAATATCTTGCCCACTGAGCAAAGAGAGTCCTGTAGAAACCAAAGAGATAGTGTTCATGGATTGCCTCTTGTGGAGCCAGTCTATGAACCATCGCTTAAAACTACTAGGTCGGGTCGCTCTGTAAAACCCCCTGAACGCTTAGATCTATAAGAGGGAGGATGTAATATATGTGGTGCCATTGTTAGGCAACCAACATGACAGCAGCCTGGTGGTGACTTCACCTGTCATGTTAGGGCAGTCAACATGTGGGTGTCAGATTATAAAGTATCACAATAAAAGACCTGGAATAAAACACTCTTATTTATTCATCCTTATACCCTGGCAGGTTTACCAGGATATTACATGCACTCTGGCTTAGAACGCCAGTAGCTTAGCCGCTGAACTTTGGCCGACACGAAAGGTATTAATAAACGGGCCTTAGGCCTTACCCAAGCCAGGAGACCTCATTTACTATCAATCTATTTATTTATCCATTGACTCTATTCAGTCACGAATTCTAATTTAAACCTAAACATGCTTTGTGGGTTGTACACTGGTGCATTTGAAATATTTGTGGCTGGAGTATGACTTTCGTATGACGTCGATGTGAGTATTAGCCCGTTAAGTCATTGGGGGGATATAACTCATTATTGAAATGTATTACATTATCTCTATCTTCTCTCTTTTTTACCTGACTTTTTTAAACTCGCAGAAATCGCTTTAAGTGTTTTAAAAATGCCAGATTGACTCCTATAGAACCTTAATTACTACTTTTTTATTTTGTTTCTAACAAAATTTAATAGCAAAAATGTAATAAAAAGATATATATTTTCGTATTATGTTATTTTCATTTACAAAGAAACAACATAGTTTTTTATTTTTGCAGGTTTGGAAAAAACCTTGAGATATTTTCATCTGGAGTCCTTCTACCCCAATTAGTAATGAGTTATGCAGTATTGGTTATTAATGGATATATTCTAAGTATTGTTAGTAAAACTGTATTTTTTACATTAGAAAATTGTATAACATAAGAAACATCCTAGGTGAAAGATAGTCGCAATAATAATAAATACTATTAAAAAAATAAAGGGTCGGATAGCTCAAAACGTTAAAATCGATTTTGTTCCTCGTGATTTTTTTTTGAAGTATCTCCGGAAGTTTTTGATATATAAACTCTTCTAAGATGTAATTTAAAAATTGTTTTCATGATAGCCATGTCCGTCGATTAGCAGGACTAGATCAACCTCTATCCTCTTCTATTTATTGTTCCAAGACTACAGCTTTCCACAATGTTCTCCTCAACAGTATTCTGTTCCATTTTGGTGGTAAAAAATTAAAGGATGGCACTCCTCGGAGAACTGTATTTACTTGCCATCATACTAGGTGGAAGCTAACAGAGCTTCTGTAGAATAGTTCAAACAATTTACCACACCAACGACATAGAGTATGATCCAGTATCGTTAATATTAGAGGTCTTTTCGCTTACACCCACATTAAAAACATAAAAATTAACACTGTAGTCAGGGCTAGTTGTTACTGGTGGTATGCTTACCACTTTACTGTGTCTGTTATGGGATTCCTTTACACGTTTTACGGTCAGGTAATCAAAGGGTTTAAGGAACAATACCGCACGAATAGTGACTCAGCGATTCTTCTTCTTAAAGTGCCTTCTCTTCAATGGATGTTGGCTACACAATTACAAATTTCTGTCTGTCCTCAGCCATTCTTATTAGCCGTTCAGAATTTAGCCTGTTCATTGGCGGATGTTTCTTAGCCACGATAGTCTTTTCCTTCCGAGTCCTTTCTCTCTCTAGATTTTTCTTTTCACTATTGGTTCAGCATAGTGATATTTATTATTTCTCAGTATGTGGCCTAGGTATGATGTTTTTTAACTTTCACCATGTTGAAAAGATCTCGTCCCTTAGCTATTTTCTGCAGCACTTCTTTGTTTGAGGTATGCAATTTCCATGAAATCTTGAGTATTCTCCGATAGATCCACATTTCAAAGGCCCTTAATTTATTTACTGTTAATGTTTTAAGTGTTCATGTTTTAAACTGTATAGAGAAGAGTCTACCAGATGTAGCATTTTGATAAACGTAGACGAATTTCGAGTTTTCGAAAGATTTTTTGGCCTGGTCTGTTCTCGACCTTATTTCTAGATAACAGCAAATGATATAGAGCTACCACCTACATGCAAATATTGCCACTTATTTACTATACCTCGTGTACATAAGAGTGAGCATAAAAACGCTTGTACAGACGAGCATCAGCGATACAGAATGCTTGTACTGCTGCAAAATTCACTTTCTATTCCTGTGCAGCATATATGTACTGGTCACTTAGGCACATTCATTATATTCCTAATGAATGGTTGGTCCTGTAACAATCAACTTTTTGTTTATATTTTAGAATGATCATGAATGGATCTAGAGATCACCAAACTATATGATCAGTTGGAAATTAGATTAAACATTCATAAAGCCTTAGCTAGGCTTTATGAATATTTAGCCTTCCCATACTAATTAATTTTACAGCTTTCAACACTTTAGAAATGTATATTTGTATATATATTTTTAAATATATTCCAGGATCATAGTGATTTGATGAAAACCACCATACTTCTAAACTTAACTGGGTCATGTCTCGTTCAACTAGCTGTATTTGCTTTTCAAGCATCGGATATTAAATTTCAGGTTTGTAAAAGGTCATCGATCGTATAATAATTATAAATAACAATATTCTTTTAGAGCTTGTCAGTCATTGACTCTATTCACAACTCAGAATGGTATTTGTTTAAAGCTCCGCTTAAAAAAGCTTTAACCTTTATTATAATGAATACGAAAAAGCCTATTTCGATCAATGCTGGAGGACTTTCCAATGTTGATAATGAGGTATTAGTAAACGTAAGTTATACTAGATAATAGTATTAAAAGTAGTCGTATCACTTCTATGCAAAATATGTTTATTTATTTGTTTCTTTTTTTAGATCATCCAAAAAGCTTTTTCGGCAATTACGCTCTTACGAGCTTTGACAGCTGTCGAGTAAAAGTATTTATGAGTATTAATCTAAATAATGCAAAATTTTAGTTTATCTGACACTTTCTTTGTCTATAAATTAGTAATTAATTTACTTAACACAATTTTTATTATTTAACACATAAGATAGTTAAATATTCTCTACAATAATTTAATTGATATGTCATATCTAAATACTGTGGAAAAAAATATATATGTATAGGAGTTAATATTTCGTTGAAACTGTATTTCCTGATAGCCTCAGCAACTGAGTTGCTATCAACAAGTCCTCGTAGACACTTTATCTTAGGAAAAGCAACTTCATGTAGAGTATTACGCCATGTCATCAATTCCACTTGTAACTTTAACATCATAACATATTAAACATTTAACGGGTTTTTACCCAAATATTTAGTGACTCAAAACATGTAGGTACTGTACACCTAGACACACTCATGATAGAATATAGATTCCGAAAACGTATTGTGATTGTGATATAGCCCAATTGGGTGTTTTAATTATATAGGTACCTTTTATAAAGGATTTTAAATAAACTTTTTATGTAGGTTGAATATATAATTATAATAGGTCGTATTTGTTCTGAAGATCTTCTACCTCTTTACATTTTTCCTCATAGTAAGTTTGTTTTGCCTCTCGTTATCAATTTTTCTGGCATCATTGTTAATGATTTTGTAATTGTAACTTTCTTTGTTCTTGGCTTGTCTTCTTTGGTCCATCCTGCCGAGTACTCCGTCAGTCATCCAGTTGTCTCTCTTTCTTATCGGTTCTTTTAATATCCCTTTGCAAGGAACGAAGAGGCAGTTTTTTAATGTTTCCCATTGTTGGTTTATTTCATAGGTGTTCGTATCCAATTTATCAAAGTTTTATTAGATTAGTGGATTATGGTCTGGGCCCTGATTCTAATTGAGATTTCGACTGAAAACATGTTGAAATCAATATGGCGACGTCGAAATGCGACTTTGCGAGCCTTGTGGATTTCAGCTGAACTAACCAAAAAACGTCACAAATTTTCGAATTATCGAAATTATTTTAAACTTCAAGAAAGTGGTTGAAATTTAATTTCGAGTCGAAATTAATGTGCCATGAGTGGCTGGACTGGGAGAAGTGAGATTAGGTTCAGTTTAGGCGGTGTTGTTTTGTTTGATTATTGCAAGGAAAACTGAGGCAAGAAGTATTAATATGGCTGCGTTTTACCTATGAGAAATTGTATGTGATTCGGCACAAAATTGGTCGAAATTTTGAGACTTTCACAAAAATAGAACTGCAGTACCTGGGGCCCCAAGCCAGATGCTACTGATTATTTTTTAAAATACTGTGGTACAAAAATTAAGGAAATAAAATGTCCCAATAATAAAACTAAGTTGTAAACCACAATTTTTGAAGATATTCAACAGGCTGTAATGGAAGATAGAAATAATAAATAATTTGGTTGTTATAATTTTTTTTTACAAATTATGTGTTTGAATGGCATGCTCTTGAAATTCTACTCTCTTATTTGGAGAGTGATTTATTGTCTTTCTTAATTTGGCTACTGCTGTTCTAATCTTGGTTATTGTTGGTGACTGGTGGGCACCAACAATAACCAAGCACCTGCTTGGTCTAATTGTATATCAAAGTTCTCCTCCAGCCGTTATTATGACATAAGTTTTACGTTTTTGCGCACACATTGGCTCATTTCTAGTACAATAAAATGCAGCGGATACAAATTCTTGTATCGTTTCTTACTTTTTTGTTATATCAGAAACGATATAAGAAATGATACAAAAAAATGTATAGTGTCATATGGCCTTAAGAAGAATGTTACAATTTAGGTAGCAATTCCGCCTTAATAATCAAGCTGCAAATTATTTGATAAGGATATAAGAACCATATTTGGAGGGTGTTTATGCCTCTAGGAGACCAAAATGTTTAGGATAAGTATTACTAAGCTGCAATAAATTTAAAAATATATTAGAATATAACCACTAAGTCAAAAGCCACCATAATTTCTTTTTGGCGAGACAATTTAGTGCCACCATCACAGACAGCCTCTCCATCCATTTTCTTTCAATTCAAAATATAATAATTGAGAATGGCCACTAAAAATTTAACAACTCAAACAAGAAACAAAAGGCGTAATGTAAACAAAACAAACATTTAACAAGCGTTGTGCAGCATGCAGCCAATAAACAAGACGGCCAACCCAAATTCTGAGCAGTGTCAAAATGATAAAGTAAATATCCCCACTTTTAACTAAAATCGAAATGAATGAGAATCGCTAGCGATTGCGACTGTCATGGCGTAGTCGCTTTTAAATTTCGACATCGAAATGAAATAGAATCAGGGCCCTGATGTGACATCTGCTCCGGGATATGTTTTAACTGATCTGATAGTGTTACGATACCTCTCTTTAATCATTATATAATCGATTTGGTTTCTTACTACTTTTTCCAGTTTATCTGCTGATCAGCGCCATGTATATAACTTATGCAGAACAACTTGTGATTATTAGACTTTGTTCTTGGCAGAATTGTATTAAACGATCTCGTCTATCGTTACATTCCCCCAGTCCTTGATCTCCCATTATTTTTCCAGCTCTTCCCTTGCCAACTTTTGTATTGAAATCGCCCATGACCGTGATTTCCCTGTTCTTTGTCATTTTCAGTGCATCTTAAATTTGTTGGTAGACTGTTTCTACTTCATCCTCTGTTGCATGCGTCGTTGGCGCATATACTTGGATCAAATTTAGTTTTGTGGGTGATGTCCTTATTTGTAGTAGCATCACTCTTTCTGAGATTGGAACAAAACCATCTATTGACCTCTGTATCGAAAATAATTGCTACTCCACGTCTATGGTGGTTGTCAATGTTTCCCGAGTAATATAAGGCATCGGTTTCTGTCGAAAGGTGTCCTGAGTTAGGCCACCATGTTTTGCTTACACCTAATATATTTTAGATTCATTCTTCTCATATCTTGAAGGATGTTATGTATTTTACCAGGTTGATACATGCTTTTGACATCCATGTACCTATTTTTGCTTTTGATAATTTCATTTTGTTTTGTTTCGATGTTTGGCAAGGGTTTCAACAAAATGGTTATGAATATGATTAATAAATAAACTATACATTTTGAAATAACTTTATTGGTAGTTTTCGGACATCAATTTTCTTAATGAAGTTACAGCACTACTGTAGTATATCGTCTTAAAAACAAGATGTATAAAATGAAAATCCTATTTCAATAACTACACAAAATTAAATAAACTCTAGTATAATTAAACAGTTGCACTTATAACTTCTGTGTACTTCTTGATTTTGCTAGCTACAGACATGTCTACGTATCTGTCACCAATGCTTACTATCATTCCACCGATGATGCTGGGGTCGACTTTTGTAGCCAATTGAATGGTTTGGTTTGACTTGACGAAGGACTTCAATACACCCATAAGTTTTTGTTTTTGGTCAGCGTCCAAGTCTCTAGCAGTGGTTACTTCACATGAGACCTAAAATTTAATTGAATACAATTTATATTATGTTACAAAAAAAGAACTTCTCATAAAAAAGGGAAAAGATAAAATAAAGAAGGGCTGTAATTAAAAATGTATCTAAACCATTTCAATCTTTAAATAAAAACATGTTTTTATTTTTGTTTATAATTCAAACGAATATTATCCAGTAACCATTTTCTCCTATTCAAGTCCTGCATATCAATTAGACATTTCTCAGTTCAATTAAAAAACAATCAAATCATCCCAATCAACTCTCTGGAATCACTAGATAACGATAAGCGGTTTGTCATTGTCAATTACCCTATTTTTTGACACGAATAGTCTCTATGAGAATAATAATGATCTTCAGCTTTTGGTAAAAAGTCAGTTTTAACAATTGGGCAATGATTAGTTTAAGGCATCCATTATAACCAAACTTTTATATGACATTTAACATAAGCTTAAATGGTGTCAGAGTTGCCAAGTCTTCAGTTTTTTTATACTCTCATATAATATTATAAAAATGCATTGAAATTATATAAAAATTCATAGATTTTAATTAAATTAAAGATAATAATTAAATGCATATACTATAAAATTGATTAAAATGATATAAAAAATGAATGGTATTAATAAAATTACTGTATATAATAGAAATACATTAAAATTATATAAAAATTCATAGACTTATGATTCACAAGTGTCATTGTAGCGGGTTGACCATTCGCACATAATAATAAGAAGGACCTAATAGAGAAGATGTGGAAGTGCTGTCAAATAATTTACAATATTTAACTACATTTAAAGTAACAGAAAATATTTAAGGCTGTTTTATCGGTGCACCAAAACCTAGGGATTGTTATTTACCGAAAAAATGTCTCGAAATTTGGACACAATATTCGAAATTATGTTGCTTTTAAAATGATGGTTTTACTTTTTTTATTTTTTATTTTATTTTTTTTTATTATAACCAATCTTTTTACGCCCATCACTTGAAAGAGTTTTTTTTTCTGTAATCGTTGATTTTTTTTTTTTTTCACCTTTCTGTGTCCAGTAATAATCGAGAAAAGCGTGTTCCAACTTTGAAGAAAATTGCTAAAAAATACTAAAATCTAATAGTGAAACGTGTTACTCATCATTGTCGCTAAGGTTCACCGTTATCGCCTTCGTGACGTCAAATCTCATGAATATACGGTCAGTTAGTTCGTGTTAAAACTAATTTGAATGGAGAGTAATGCATTTCTTCTTCTTCTTCTTCTTAGCCTGTGTTCGTCCACTGCTGGACATAGGCCTCTTCCATTTGCTTCCATCGATTTCTACTTTTGGCAATTCTCATCCACTGCTTGCCCGCGACTTGTTTGATATCGTCTGTCCACCTCTTCTGCGGTCTGCCTACTCCTCGCCTGTTCTCTCTTGGTCTCCAGTTTGTTAATCTTTGTGTCCATTTTTCGGGATTATCTCGGGCAACGTGTCCGACCCATTGCCACTTGAGCCTTGCAATACGTTCTGAGACATCAGTAATTTTTGTTCTTTCACGAATGACGTTATTTCGAATCCTGTCTCTCAAACTAATCCCTAGCATGGCCCTCTCCATTGCTCTTTGGGTTGTAATGAGATGTTCTAAGGTTTTCTTTGTGAAGGCCATGGTCTCCAGTCCATATGTAGTTACAGGCAAGATACATTTGTCATAAACTCTACGTTTTAGACACATTGGTATATCTTTATTCTTCAAAATAAAGCTTAATTTGCTGAAAGCTCCCCAAGACAGTTGTATGCATCTTTTTATTTCGGCTATTTGATTTTCTTTGCCGATTTTAATGGTATGTCCAAGATATATATAGTGGTCTACATTTTCAAGACTGACGTTGTCAATAACAAGATTAGTTTGTAAATTACTCATTATTTTTGTTTTCTGAAGGTTCATTTTGAGACCTATTTTATTTGACTGCTGGTTTAATTCCTTCAACATTTGCTCCAGTTCCTTGATATCTGTACTAAAGATGTAATGCATTTGTTGTCATTAAACTACCGGTTGGCAGGCGCCACTGAGTAAAGATAGTCTCGCGTAAGCAGTGTAGAAATGTAAGTGATACGCCCATTTCAAATTGCAGTGTGCTTGAACTGCTAAAACAGCCTTAAGAATCCTGTTTCATACTTATTCAAAACTTGTAGCTTCTCATAATACAAATTATAATTTCGTTAAAGTAACTTATATTTTAAAACTTCATATACATTTTACAAAAAAATATGGCAAGTTTTATACTTATTTAAAATTTGTAGCTTCTCACAACACAAAATATTATTTCGTAAAATTAACTTTATATTTTTAACATCCATATATCTATTTTACAAAAAAACAATGAGGAAAATATATTTGGGTAGGTACAGTGCCTTACTAATCATTGTCCTAACAATTTTACAAAAATAAGTGTTAAAATTTTGGCAAGAGCATTTTTGACAGTATAAATTTTAGCGAATGCTCTATTTTCATTTTACAGTTCCCATCAATATTGCAATATTATTTAAAACTTGATAGAAATTTAATAACCAAGTGAATTGTAAATAAAAAAACTAAATTGTTTCCCAGTAATGAGAGAACGAAACTCAATAAGGACATCCTTTCAGACAAAAGATCACTTTAAGATGAGAATACTAACAACTGTGCGAAGGAATATAACAATTATGCCTATAGAAAACAAAAAGGATATTAAATGTTCCAACCTGGTCTCAGATAAGTACAATTTACAAATTATTTGGGTATAAATTGAAAAAACTGGAATTGAAAACTTCAGTTGATTACATCCCATGACAGTAGGCCGTATATTATTTAAAATTTTGAAACTAACAAACATTAAACAAATAAAAAGAATTGACAGAAAGCGTATAAAGGTTTTACTACCATCACAATTAGAAGCTAAAAGTTTTGCTAAAAATTAATTATAAAAAAATCAAAATTTAAACTTAAGACTTAGAGAAACTAAAGACTTAGTTAGGGATGTAGATACTTAATATGACATCAACTATCCCATTGAATCTACATCTAAGATTATACATATTTATGAGAAAGTGTAGGGTGCAAAGAGAAGATAACATTGACTATATAGATAAAACAACTATGGTTTTAAACTTTGATGGTAACATTTTACTCATCTGTATAGCTTTTAACAGAGTTTATTTCCCTGTCAAACAATTTATTAGTAGGGTTGTTCAATGCTATAAATGTTTGAAATTTGGTCATGTCTCAAAGACTCTCAATATTCTTTTGATTAGAATCTTATTAGAAGAGAGACAATAACTATGGAGTCTAAGCTATTCTTATTTGCAATGCAATTACCTACAGTGAACTAAAACTAAATTATACCTTCAATAAAAAAATAGAAGCCTCTTGCAACAAAACTAAATTTGAAAGGACTGAATTAAGTTTTCTATCTATATACAAACTTAAATGTAAATGGTCAAGTAAATGATTGGACAAACATATTCTCACAGGTGAGTGACTCATTAATTATAGGTGGAGATAAAATAAAGAAGGGCAGCAAGTAAAAATGTATCTGAACAAATTAAATGATTTGTGGATTATACATTTAAAAGAGGTCTTTGTAGACTTTTCCAAACTGAGACCTAAAAAATATTGTGTGTGTACCCTGTTCCAGGTATTAATGCTGTTTGCGAAAAAGTTCCCTGCAGTTTTACAGGTTACAGGACCAATTAATGGTAGACAATCAATTGTTGGGCCAATATGCATGTCTCTATCCTCTTTTCAAACTTCCACATTTAACTGTACTTTAAAGACTTTAACTGAACTTGATTTGAAAAATGAAGGGCTTAATGAAGATAATAAACAGTGTTACATTATTTGCATATCAAAGGATGACAAACAGTTGTAAAGCAAGTGTACCAAAAGCAAAAAACTAAATTTTTCCCTAGTGCAATTATATTATCAAAATGTTGGTGAACTATGCACTAAATTTACAGATTTTAGCCCATTAAATGCAGTGAACTATGTGTATTGACATTATTGTTATTGATGAAAGTTAACTTTATGATGAAGTATTTTGGGAAGATTGAGTTGAAACAGTTATAATATTTTTAGTTGCAGATTGAAATGATAAAATCACATTAAAATTTAGTGGAGTGGCTGAGGTGTTAATAATAGTGGAGGGTTAATATGTAATGTACGATGAATTGAAAAGAATAAGGTATCAAGAGAAATTATCTTTAAGAAGTGTAAAGACACAAAATAGATACACATTTTCTATTTATAACCACATATGACAGTAAACCATTTGTATAGGGATTCAATAGTAGAGCAGCCATCTCAGTAAAACAGTAAATTTAAATTTCAAGGGAATTAGTCTCCAAATCAAGTAAAAGCTGTACAATAGCAGCAGTCAAATACTGAATTTATAAAGTGTAGAATAAATGAACATTGATAAAAAATTTAAAACTTAAAACTATATACAGTAATCTAACAAAAGCATATTTATATTTTTAGTTAAAAATAATATCACAAACCTCTCCTCTGTGTGCTGCCATAATTTGCTTGAATGCATTAATAACTGTTTCTAGTTTATTAAGACGACCATTGTCAGCCAACAATGCCAAAAGATTAGCAGATTCTGGTTTAAGAGAAATCTTTTGAGCTACTGCTTTAAGAGCCTCTGACTTAAGACTTCTTTTGATTGTTGGGTTTTCTACAAATCCTCGTAGTTTAGCATCTGTTTTTAAAGCACCCTGAAGCTTCAAAAGGTCCTTCTCCACACCTTCCAATGACTTTTGTTTGCTGGCTGCAGAATATAGAGCTGAAGCATACCTACCTTCAATTCCAAAAATTTGGAGTGGGGCTTTAACTAATTGTGAAGCGGTGTTACTAGTACTGAAGCTGCGAACCTATAAAAAAGTCAAACAAATCAACAAATTAAACAAAACCCATCATCTACTTGCAATACTGGTTACTATGATTTTAAACTAGAAGGATGGTTTTAAAGTATAATTTTAAATTTTTATCAAAAATACAATATAATCAGTATGTGCTGCATGCAGGTTGTATATCTGCATCTGTGAGAAATTAAATTAACTAGATTATACTAAAAAATACACTTGGTAATTACGCATTGATACTTATCAATGCTTCATTTTTTTAAAGTTATCAAAGTTAAATATATACATATTGAACGAATTTAAAACGGATCATACAATTTAATATATGTCTGTTTGAACTGTATTTGAAATAATGGACCAATATAAAATTTGGACAAAAGTAAATCCATACCTGGGTTTAGACATTGTATAAAATATCATTCAACTATCTGTCTCGCAACAATGTACTTGTGTAACAATGTTGCCAATCGCCGTGTAATAATCCAATTTGCAGATCTTTTTGAGAGTTATATCTTCTTTGTATGTTTAAATAAATTGGATATTTGCCTATATTTTTCATTGTATTTACCAATCTACTACAACAGACTCAATAACAAAAATAAACTTAATGGTTTGTAGTTATTTTCTTTTTTTCTTGTAAATCGACGGTTAAACTGCAAAACCTCGTAAGTCAGTTTTATGTAACTTTACAGGAGAGACGAAAAACGTTTTGGCTTCTTGACTTAACATTCAGTTTTCTCGTTTTATGAGTGTAGGGTTCTTTTGAGGTAACAATTACATTACTCTTAAGTAAAATTTAGTAACATTGTTTTTTTTGTCAAAAAGCCACTTACGAGGTTTTGCAACTTAAAATCTTAAACTGTCAGTAAACTTACGAGGTTTTGTCTCAAAAGAACCACTTCCGAGGTTAAAAAAAAAGCAATAAATTAAATTATTTTTAGTTAATTTATTACATTACATCACCTATGGTATAAAACTTATAAAATATTCTTAAAAACGAGTAGTGATAACCAATCTTTATACTTAAAAAGTAAAAAAATCAAAACCAAAATAGCCGTAGTTTATAAAACTTGCTAATATTCACTATTAAAATTAAATTCTGTCCATAAGAATAAAAAAAATTAAAAAATAAAAATTGTGATAATTTATAACTGGCTAATATCCTCTATTTACTCATGAGCAAGAGACTCATAAAAATGCCGAAAATCTTTAGGAATAAAGATTTTCATATCCTGCAAATCATTAAATTTAGAAAGTGTTATTTTTGGTGCAGTAGGATATGATAATGGCGGAGCAATATTTGCTTTTTCTTTGTTGGGTCGTTGCGGTAGTAGTTTCCAGTCATCTTCGTAATACAATTTGTACTCTATAAGACCATTCGGACGATATGCTAGACACCTTAAATTTGTGACTATAGGATCACCTTTTTATAATTAAAAGATTATTAATTATACAATAATTAATTTTATAATTAATAATCTTTAAAGAAAAGATGATCCAGGTAATGAACATCATAAGGATGCTGTAATTTTGCATTTTTACAAATTTGAACATAACAGCCAGGTACATAAATTGTCCCGGACAAATTTTTCAGCGGACGCTCGATGCAGGCGTGCATCGAGTCGCACTCCATCTGAGTATGTCCTTTTTCCAAATAGTTTTGGTAAATTTGAATATTCTTTGCTGCTGCAAAATTGGATAAAGCACTACTCAAAGTTGAATTCCTGTTTTGGTAATTGCAGCCATCAGAAAAAAAAATAACTTCTTTTGTTTCTTCTGTTACATACTTTTCAATCTGGTGAATGACAATTGATGTGAAGTCAGAAGCTTTTATATTTCCGGCTCCCTCATGCCAGATGTAACAGTCACCCTTATTTGATGCTAGATTAAAAAAGCACAAGTTGTGAACATTAAGTTTCTTTTTATAGTAAGAAACAGATACTTGCAATTTGGCGCACTTAAAACCGTTTGTAAATCCATAGTGAACAACAATTTAGTTGAATCATTTTTAGTGGACTGTTTTAATTTTTCGTTTTCTTGGCGAGCAGCATTTTTCTAATAATATGTAACTGATAATCTTTATTACTTACAGTCCCAACAGTGTTACTAGTGCAGATGTCACACTGGTCCTTCCTAAAAAAAATTGATTTATTGGAGGCAATAAAATAACAATAAGTAAACACTTACTTTGGCCTAAACACAGACAAATTTTGGTCCTCAAATTGTCTTCTAAAATACGTGTGACTTACTGGAGCATGTTCGTTAGTTGATCGACATTCATTAGTGTAACATCTATATAATTCGTTTATATTTTGCCACATCGGTTCTAAATACAATTTAGATGTTTCTTTACGGCAATGGTGGCTTTCAAGTTTGGGCAACTTTTGAAAAAAGTTAATTAGGAACTTTTTCTTTTTCGTTGGCTCGGATTTACAATTAGTATTCAATTGCTCAATATTTTGGGTTTGAGTTACGTTTACCCAACTTGCTACTCCCCTACACATAGTGTCTCTAAAAACATTTTTTTGCATACCCGAAGTCGTATACTATTCTTTTTTAAATGAAAACATAAGGTACCTTTCCGCTGTTTCTCAATGGCTTCTAAAATCAAATTTATTTTAGTAAACCTATTGTAGAGTTTAAAATATTATTAGTTACCTGCTTTGCGTAGTTTAATTGGTGCTGTATCAACAAGGTCTTTTACAAACATTTTTTTCTCGTCCCAATTCAACTGCCAAAAGTTATTGAATAACTGTAACCTATCTTCTTGACTAAATGTTCTGCAAAAGAGTTTTGATGATTTTAAAGACAATTTGCATTCACAAGCTGGACCCATTTGTCTTTGATTTCTTTCAACGGTTACATACTTTTTAGTAGTTTTTTCGTACATTTTGGAATCATATTTCTCACCTCGCATTCTTTTTATTCTGTTGTTAGAGCGACCCCATTTTTCTTTATGTACATTCTATTTTTTTTGCCCTTTTCTTTTTGGTTTGAGTTTTATTGTCAGTTTCAGCTTCATTGGTAAATTGGTCACTTTCATCAGTGTCATCGGTAGACACTATATATTCAGATCCACTGTCTTCAAATGGTTCCGTTTCTTCAGAATTTAAATTTATAACATCATCATTACTGTTATTTAAACTCTGAGATAAAGATTTTAAATCATGGGTTTTATCTGCATAATTATTATCACTAAGTGATGCCTGACCATCTTTTATACTAAAAAGATAACCTCGCTTTATTGATTACGAACAAATTACCTTAATTAATTACTATTAAACTGGGAATAAGCCACAATTAAAGATAAAAATACGTTTATTGACGTTTCAATTTCCACTTCGGAAATCGTTCTCAAAATACATTATGAGAACGATTTCCGAAGTGGAAATTGAAACGTCAATAAACGTATTTTTATCTTTAATTGTGGCTTATTTCCAGTTTAATAGTAATTAATTTACAATGCCACAAGAAAATAGCTTCAGAACAAAATTACCTTAATATTGCATTAAAAATAATTGTACAACAGTAAACTTACCCCTCTTGGCAATCTGCACTGTTTGTTTTTATTAAGCTTAAGATATATTTTCCTCTTGAATTCATTATCAAAATTATGTAATACCAATAGATATTATCTTCTCAAAATCTCATTAACACAACAACAAAATTGACAACCACCACTCAAGTAATGAAATAGTTTCTGGAAGTCCCACAAAATTAAACTCCAAAACCACGCAAGTCGAACTTAAGAGTTTTCTGCTAACAGTTAGTTTTACGAGGTTCTTGTAGATGTCGCTAGTACCATTAAATTTAAATATAGACTTACAAGATTTCGTAGTTTAAAAGATATGGAAAAATATAAACCAAAACAGTATAAAAGTCATAATTGACCAAAAATCGACTTACGAGGTTTTGCAGTTTAACCGTCGAAATATTTATGGATAACACCTTATTTGAGAAACATCTAAAGGAATGAGGTTGACAACACCGCTTAAAGAAGGACTTGTCTAAAGAAGCGATAACTGGTTTGACAGCATAATAAAATCATAGATTTATGTGTAGCTTTCAATTTTTATGATTTCAGAATCCAGCAGCCCTCTGAAGTATTTAATTTTTATAATATAATTATTTGACAACCTTTTGTTGGCCAACCACCTACAGCAAAATTGAGCCGAAATACATAATATTTCGTATGTTCCGAATTTATTTCGTTCAATCTGTATATACCAAATTACAAGCGAATCTGATCATATTTTATGTGAAATGGTTAAATTTTTACAAATGAAATTGACTATGCTGTTCTTTGTTTTTTTTATATGTTATTCCAATAAATTAAGAGATTTATAATAACACTTTAATAAGGATACAAGTACAATGGCAAAACTCTTGCAAGGTATGTATCAGCTCTTACTCTTTCTTATGTCTTTACAATTTTTAAGATTCAAATCACTGATTTTTTATTTACTATCCCAGATGAGATCTGATTTCCTAGCTACATTGCAGCTTTTGTACTTGGTAATAGCCACAAGTGAGACCATTTATATCATTATGTGGAGATTGGTTTGTGACATAAGAGAGAGTACCATTAACTCCTCATAACTATTTTTTATTGAAATCTGTAAAGGATTTCTAGGTAGGATATTAATATTTGTAGGATACACTAAAACAACTTCCTGTATGTTCATTTTGGTATTACGATAATAAAGGGCATGTAGATCTAATGGAACCTGAAAACTATAGACAGTTTCCATGTTCCATTGGACATAATTTGCCTGCATGGAAATTGATAGGAAAGAGTCACTTTAAAGATGTATACTATTAACTCCGTACTGCAAGTAGAAGGCAGAAATATAAATGAATGCTTAATTTTAACTGAATATTAATTTTAATTAATATTTGTCATTTTTACAGTTTATCAAAAACTCTTAACCTCCAGAGAAGTTATGTAACAAGATTTATGAGGTAATGGGAATTATTAAACGTTGATGAGCAAAATAACTATAATACAATAAAAACTTACAGCCATATAAAGATTTTGTGAAGCCATTTGGAATTAATTTTCTATTTTAAAGTTTAATTTTATAAATCGGTCGCCTTAACCCACACCAATGACAGAAAATTCGGTCTGTGAGCTATGACAGACTATGACGTAAAAAAGTGACATTGACAAAACGAGGAACAACAGGATAGCCAATAGGAAAATATTAAAGAACGTTTTAAAACACAGGTTATACAGGGTGAGTCCAATGACGTATAATATATAGACTCGGTGAACGCTTTAAAAAGTGTCCAAAACATGAATACCTTTGTTATTGTTTATTGTTTTGATACGAAGATACACGAAGTTCATGATTTCTTACGAAGCATCACGAAGTTGATCTTGTGTTTGAAAACATCATGGACGTATGAAAACATTTTCTCCATTTTGTGTGACAAGCAAATTTTATTTTAAATTGTTGAGAGTTATTTACTTACTATTTTAGTAAAATGCCATACTATTTTATCAAAATAATTATTTCTCTTATAGATGGGAACAAAAAGAAATCATAAATATTTAATTTTAATTAAAAAAATAATTATTGTCATTAAAATATAAATGAACACGCCGCTGTTGTGATAAACATACCTTCAACCTTGAGCCGAGATCTTTCGGACACTCGATTCTATAGCGAGAATAGGGGACTGCGTAGTCTATATATTATACGTCATTGGGTGAGTCACAACAATTGGAACAAAGCAGAATCACAGAATAATAATAAATATCAATTGTTTTATTATTCTGTGGTAGGATTGTGTTCTTTGTAACAAAATTTTGATATTGGACCCATTGGTGAATAAATTGTAGCTGTTAAATTAGACACAGTGTCTTAAAGTTCAATATATTAGAATAATTTCATTGAATATAGACAATTCTTATTTTTTTTTAGTTTTTACAGGAAGCGATTTGTGATAATGAATTTGAGTCAAATCTTTTTACTTTTTTTGCAAAACTTTTTGAAGCTTTTGATGATGTCCATATCATTTTTACCTCATATTTTGCAAAATTGAAATATTTTGCAAAATATAATGTCCATATCATTTTTACCTCATATTTTGCAAAATTTACAAGAGCTATTATGTACTTTTGCTTTTTTCGATTTAATTATTACAATTAATCGCTACAATTATGTTTTCGCCTCAAATGCCTCGTCACAATCATTTTACAAAGGAACAATTGCTGCATCTAACTTGTATCTACGCTAAAGGATATGATTTGTATATATGCTCGGTAACTACAATATTATTGTAGGACCGTATAATATTTTTAAATAATGAAAGTCCTTTGTCAAAATAAGTAAAAAATACATAGACGTATTAGGAGACAAACCAGTAATTTTGTTTTTACCCTTTTTCCTCTTATATTGTTATTAATCTTGATTTATAGTCGAAATATAAAACACTTTATTATAAATACAGAAATAAACCAAAAGATTTTACGCAAAGTACGAATATGAAGACAAATAATTTTCCCGAAAGAAAAAACATTTGTATTTCAGTATGAAATGTAATGATCAATTCTTCTTCTTCCAAATAAAACCTTTAAATCAAATTAATCTTTACATTACTTCACAGATGACATCTGTCAAGATGTCAAACATTACCCTAAAGGTCGTTTGAAAAAGAAAATTGTAAATTAAATATAAAAGAAACAAAAAGAAATACTTTTATCTGAATATTTTTAATGGACAAATATTCGACAAAATTAAATGATTCGAAATTTATACGAATTTAGTTTATATCAACTGTCCATAAATTATAACCTAACATGTTGAAGGTAGGTACTTTGTTTATTATAATATTTTGTTTTTAACTATTTCTTTTTTTAATTAATAGTTGTTAACAATTAGAAATAATGTAAACATTTTCCTTTCTCTAACGTGATAATAAAATAACAGACAGTTTCTAGGATATTAAGTTACTGTATAATTTTTCCAATAAGTTTATGCTTTTTAATTTTAAAGTGTAGAATATTATATTTCACCAGATATATGTATGTTCTATTCGATCTACGTATTTTTTGCTTGGTAATTCCATTTTAAAATAGTATGACTGACCAAGATTCTTAATGATTTTTTTATTACTATAACTGTACATTTTTTATGCCTAATTCATTTCTCAAGCATCTGTTTGCTCTTATTTCTGTAGTTTTCATTTTCCCTTATTACTATTTGCTTCACTGATATATAAAACAGTGTTTGTCTGGTTAGATTATTGCAAGCTTTGGAAATTGGTATAGAGTTGTATAATAAAACTGATTAGTACTCCATAGAGTAACATTCATTGGTAAAGAGATTAAATAATTCTTATTTATAGTTTAATAAGTTTAGCAGATTAGAAGAAACCTTATTTTCACTCATAATGTTTCTAATTCTTAAAATAAAGTATTCTTTTGTTTCCTGAATATTTTGAACCTGCAATCTACTTCACCTATTAGTCTTGATTCTGAAATTATCAGTATTTCAGGATCTAGTTATTTTGTTTTTAATTATTGTATTTTTATTTAGGTAAAGGGCCAGTTAAAGTTTGAGGACAAATGGCCTCAAATGGGCCCTATAGTTTTAAAACTACTTAAGCAAGAACCAGTTTCTCCATCAGAATGGCAAGAGCTCTTTTATGATGTTCATTTAGTATGTCTTTGGGATGAAAAGGGACCTGCCAAACTCAGAGATCACTTACATGAGGATATAGTCCAGTTTATTAAACAGGCTCAATCAAGAGTTCTAGCCCACAGGCAAGAGGAGGCTCTTTTGAAAGCCTACATTGCAGAATGGAGGAAGTTTTTTACACAATGTAATTATTTGCCTACACCCTTTAGACAACTTGAAACCAGTTTACAGGTAATAATATAATTATTATTGTTAAAGTCCAATAATCGTAAACCAATATGCTGTTGTGATTAATCAAGAATTTTAGTTATTATTTTAGAATAAACAAATTGAAACAGGGAAATAAAGGTTTGTCTTAAATAACATGTTAAATATAACCCAATGCCCCTTTCATTAGAATTTCTTCTGAATTCTCCTCTACAACTCTTTGCAAGTATCTATAGCTTTGAACTATAAATCCAGGTCACAAGGAAAAACTGATTCTACGCAATATATCCAGCAATTTGGAAACATTTTGTCAATTGACATTATCTTATTGAGAAAATTTGGTAGTTCTGTTAAAATTTTTCAGAAATATCTGAACCATTACACAAAATTCCTGAATTATTAGTATACCAGTGTATTTTACTACATATTAATATTTAATTCTAAGTTATGTACTTAACAAAAAATAATTTTTTTTTATAAAATCTTCAGGTAGGTAGCTAAAATTAATCTCCCTCTAATTTATTATTAAATTTTTACTGCTAAATCAGCTATAGGATTTGCTGGGAGAATTAGATAGAATGCCAGAATTATATAGAAAAAGATATCACTCCAGTAAGTGATCTTTAAAGCAAATCTAATAAATAAGAGAAAGCTATGGAATTGAAACTTATTAAAATGCTGGTTAAGAACTTATGTATTATATATTTTATATTTAATTTAGACATATATTATACATTTTAAAGTAGACAACTTTAAAATGATATTGCCAATATAACTGAGTTGTGTTCTTGGGATGACTTTATTGTAAGATAATTCATTCATTTACATGAAATCAACTTTAACTTGAAAATTTCCTTCAGAAAAGAATCACATAGCATGTGATTCGTGTTTAAAAATGCCATGATGACAGAAAAATTCTTCCTTTAGTGATTTCATAGTAAATCATGAGTAAAAATCAGGAAAAAAATCTCATAATACTATCACGACATGGTAAGTATTTGGTCTTACATTTAGTTTACTGCCAATAAACACCAAATTCTGATTTTATATTTAGAAAACATAAGTGATGTATCCTTGATATGTTACTGACTTACTAATGGTGGTATTTTACTTTTATTAACTTAATCTTTTAATATGCGTAACCAGATCTTACTGCATTCTGCTGATGAATTTATGACACAATTGGTCTCATTCAGAAAAATTAGAGCCACTTCTTTGATTTTTCTCTTTTACCATCTGTTTCTTTTTTTTATAACTTCTTTCTTAAATTGTTCCATTGGGCCTTATGTTCATTTTCCCATGCATGTTTACATATTTGAGATCTATCAAATTCTGTATTTTTAATATTAGATTGATGTTCGTTTATTCTAACATTTAATGGCCTTGTATTCACAAGGTATTTTATAAATACAATTCTTTGTCATTTCTTTTTCATTGTTAGGTTTAGTTTTAGACAAAATAGATCTCAATGTGTTTGTTGTTTTGAATGTTGTTGAAATGTTGAATTATTTTGTATCATTTTCAGTTTTTATGATAATCCCTTTATGTATGGTATTGTTAGTTTCTTCGTACTATTCCTTGTATATGTACTCTTAATGGCTTAACAAATTTGTGGAATATAATATTTTGTTATCAGCAGCCTGTTCACCCTATGAGCTTTTTAATGTGATGATCTCTCTGATGTATAATAAACAGAACAACTTAATCATTTAGCATTTCTATCTTTTGTGGGTGGTTTTTCCTACATTTGTTTTTGTAGTTCTTTATAATGACTTAAGTAAGTCTTCATATAAAGATTGAGATTGAATCTTCTTACTAACCCATTCTTACTAGTGTTGACAAAATATCTAATTATTCTAAATGAAATTTTAGAAAATAAAGCTATTATTGAAAATTTATTTTTTAGTATTGTTGTGATTTTCTAGCTATTGAGCTATTTTCTTGTGGCATCGGAGGTCAAAACATCAAAATAAACTTATTTTTAAGTAAAAGTGCGGCTTATTCCCAGTAAAAATATTAAATTGTTATTGTTTTTAACAAAATTATAGCCGTATATATCAATAGTATATACCGATTTTTTAATCTGTAAATTTTCTTTCTATTTCCAGGGTAAACCAACATCTGCTAATCCAAGTGTTCAAAATAATAGTGGGAAGAAAGCTACTGGAGAAGAAAGTATAGTGAGAAAACTCATGTTGGATTCATGGAATGAAAGTATATTTAGTGATATTAAATATAAGTTACAGGATAGTGCTATGAAGTTGGTGCATGCAGAAAGAAATGGAGAGGCTTTTGATTCCCAGTTAGTTATAGGTAAATAATATTTTTATCTTAGTAACCATTTTACGGGGATCTTAATTTTTACTACAATTATTACAGCTTTAAGCAGAACCTCTATAAGCCAAAAACTGTCAAAACTGGAAAAATGTTTTCTTCCCTTCAATCCAAGTCCCAAAACCTCCAGTACCCAAAATCTTAACCCTCTATTAGTCAAAATAATCAGTTAGTTCCAAACTACAAGTCAATTTGATACATATTTTCCCTCTATAACTTAAACAAATTAAATTGGAACTCATATTTAGAACATAACAATCTTTTATTTTACAACCTTTACAACTCCATTATTTGAAAGTCAATGTAAGTAAATCATTGTTTCTTAAAAACAAATTAGGAGTATTCAATAAATAGACTACTTATGACAAGTTAACATATGCATGCTTGCTTTGTGTCAGGTGTTTAATTTTAGTATTTTTGATTTCATTTGTACTTTAGCAATGAAAGTCATTTGTTGTTGATTGAAAAATTGTCAAAAATTGAGAAATCGTTTGGTATTACCACAATACACATAAACGTGTACAACAGTTTACAAATAGAATTGTTAGAACATGAGTGCTGTGAAACATAAACAGAAAATTTTGAGTCTTGCTGAAAAGTTGAGGTACTCAAAGCTGTAAAGAGCTGTCAAAAGAAGAAAGATGTTACTGCACAATTTTGCCTATTAATGAATACTCTGTCAACAGTAATAAAAAATGAAGAATTCATGATGAAAAAAAAATCAAAACAGTTGTTAAAATTTGTCCTGCTAAAGACAATGAATTTCAGAATTTCTGGACTTGGAGGAGTGCTTACTTAAATTGTTTGAGGAATGTTTGGAGCGAAAATATCAATATTAGTGAATCAATGTCACAAGAAAAAGCTGAATTATACTCCAAATCATTGGGAGTGGCTAATTTCAGGGTTAGTAATGGCCCTTCAGCCAGTTTAAACAAATGGAAAAGTGAATTGTCAGATTTGTTACATGTTTAAGAACCTAATAATATTTTCGATGCTGATGAAACAGGGCTGTTTTTTAAATATCTTGCTAATAAGACTCTAAAAGATAACTTTAAAAAGTAATAAATGCAATGGTGAAAGCATAGCAACAAACATTTGACTATTCTGTTAGCAGCAAATATGTTGCTCAGACAACTATCACCATAGGTCATTGGTAAATCACTACCTTTGAAATATCAATCACTACCTTTGAATATAAAGCAAATAAGAAAACATTGAAGTCTTTTGCAATTTTCAAAAACTGGCTCACAAGTATTCATAAGAAAATGGAAGAAGAAAAATCTTATCATTTGTTGATAATTCTACAGCCCATACTGATATTCCATAAACGAAAGCAATTAAAATCCAATATCTGTTTGGCAATACCACATCAAGATTACAGCGTATGGATTAAGCTATCATTAAAAACTTTAAGTCATTATATCAAGCAGTTGTCACAAGTATGTTAGATACTATGAAAAAAAAAGAAAAAAGAATTCTATAGATGTACTTCAAGCGATGAGATAAGGCTTGGTGAAATTCCACTATGACTACTTTAAAAAAATCGTTATGTATACTGTGGTTTCCATTGTCATCAACAGAAGAAGCTGAAACTGAAGATGTTTCTATTTTACCTCCTGCAGAATGGAATAAAGTGGTGTCAGAATCAGGAATATCCTTTAACAGCTTTGTTACATGCAGTGATGGAGTTATGACTGCTGGGGCATTATCTGATGACAAAATTATCGATTCAGTAGCTTACATAACCTATACTAGTGATTTATATGACGTAGAAGGCTTGAATAGTACTACATGCGCTCCATGGGTTTTTATCAAAGAGGCAAGCATTGAAAGTTTTACGTAATTTTATAGAGCAAATCAGCAATTCTGAAGAACAATAATTTTCAGCATTCTTTATTTCTTAGACAGTGCTATAGAGAAAACGGAATTATATAGAAGCAAAAAAATGAATGATGTTTTGAAATAATTTTGATTTTTAATAAATAAAATCATGTTTGTTACCTCTGTATCTTGAATTTTTATTTATTGCACCTCTCTAACTCAAAATATTAGTAAGAAGGAATCTCAAGCTCTACATGTTGAATCAAAACTCTATAACTTGAATATTTTGCTGTCTTCCTACTGTATGTAGATTAATCAACAATAAAAGTTGAAGGCGTACCTGCTACATCAATAATTTATTTAAAATGTTGCTAATGTAAAGTAGGATTACCACTAAAAGTTTTTCTTTTTAGGCGTTAGAGAATCATATGTGAACCTCTGCTCAAATACGGAAGATCGACTGCATATTTATAGAGAAAATTTTGAGGCAGCCTACATTCAAAGTACTGATCTATTTTATCGCCTGAAAGCTCCGGAACAACTTGCTACTAACGGAGTACAAGCTTATATGCGTTATGCAGGTAAGTAACAAAACAAAACATACTATATTTATCTAATTGGTGCATTGGAACACTTCACATAAATGCTGAAAATAACTTCTTCTTTAAGTCCCATCTTCTATCAAAGGTTGGAAATCATCATTGTATTCTTCATAGTACTATGGATAAGGAGGATATTTAAAGTATCACAATTTTAAAGTGTCCTAAATTTTTTTACCAATGTATTAAAAGTCTCAATTGTATCTTTGTTTTATTTGTCTTATTGGTTGAAACGAATTTAAACTAACGCTAGGTTTAATTTTGTTTAGATGCCAAATTGAGAGAGGAAGAAGCGAGAGCTCAAAGATACTTAGAGGCTGGCAGCTACGCCGTAATCCAATGTTGCGTAAAGGTACTCGTAGGGAACGCTCTGCCAGTTTTATTGGCCGAGTGTGCGCCTTTAATAAAGGCCGGAGAAACTGAACGATTGCATTTAATGTTTAGGTTATTAGAACGAGTTCCAGAAGGAGTGCAACCCATGTTGCAGGAATTAGAGAATCATATTACGCAAGCGGGACTAGCCGATATGGTCGCTGCTGCCGACATCATTACTCAGGATTCGGAGAAGTATGTCGAAAGGCTGTTGGAACTGTTTCGGAAATTTAGTAAATTGGTTCACGATGCGTTTTCGGACGATCCAAGATTTTTGACAGCAAGAGATAAAGCTTTTAAAACTGTGGTAAACGACACGACTGTCTTTAGGTAAGTTCTTTATTTCTCTTAGGTTAAATTAAGTTATTATATAGAAAAGTAATTAGTAAGGAAAATAATTTTTTAAATTTAGTTCGGAACTGGACACCGGGATATGAGTGCCTATTCCAGTTTAATCCTTAATTTAACAATATATAAGTTCAGTTTAAGTATACATGAATATACCATTCGGAGTCGTAGCTGCCTTGTTTTGACAAGTATAATAGATCCCTGACTATCCGAGCTGCGGATTATCCATGCTATGATTTACCATTATTTAAATTTCGAGGTTTTATTGAAATTACATCACCTTAAATAACTTGCCAAACACTTTTCGAAGTCCAATGTCGTTATTGTTTAAATTTCTGAAACAATTTATTTTTAGTTTATAAATTATTTAACCAATCGAACTAATTGTTCGAATTATTTATACAGTGATCCTTACATAAATAAACCAGGCTTTTATAGCCAGGATTAAATTACAGCCCAGCAAATTCTGTACTTTTCTTCGATTTTTTTTACAGTTCCAGATTATTCCAGATTTCGCTCGTATTATATACAATCTGCGTCACGCGGAAGTTAAGGTTAGTGTTTTTAACACTATAACAGTACTAACAGTCTATTTCAGTCAACTGTGTTTCTATATCAGTCTCAAATTTTCTGGAATCCTTGAAATCAATGATATGAATTTTTTAGACCACATAGAGCAATTTGTTCCAATGGTTTTTAGAAAATCGTCTTTCTCTCAATAACTCAAAATTACAAATAGTGACAAAATACATAATACCATTGTACATACCATTTTAACAAATTGTTCACAGGAAGCTATATTTCCGGGCTTCTATCTTGATCAGGGACTCACTTGGGAACAGGATATATTAAAATGTTCTCAAAAGCTATCCAGCCCCCTCTTTTTATTTAGAAATCTAGCTAAGGCTACCTCCCTGCAAATCCTCCTTACAGCATATACTAACTTTCACTCGCAACTAACTTAGCGATTCTTTCCTTTACCATGTAGATAAGGTGTTTGGTTAGCAGGGAAAATGGATTCATATAATCACTGGATAGGGTTTTCGAGAGACTAGTAGGCAGTCTTTTAAAAACCTGAAACTCTCACACTACCTTCTATGTACATTAATCATATCGATCTTTATAAAACACAACAAAATACTTATCAAAGTAGAAGTTGTGATGGTTTTGTGCCAGATTTCAGTTGTCTTGAAAGGTTCCCATTTCCAATGTCTGTCAGATTACGTGATTTGAATCAATTTAAGAGAAAAGTCAGAAATTATCTCCTGGAGGGTGCTTTCTATTCATTCAAATCAAACAAATTTTAGTTTTAAATAATTTTTAATTGTTACTTACTTATTACTGACTTCTAAAAGTACATGTTTTTGTATATTGTTACTAATAAATACTCTACCGTACTGATATAGAAGCCCAGTATCATCAGAATGATAACAGGAGAAGTGTTGGTCCCAATATAGACCCCTGGAAAACTCCATATATAGTACTTATCTTCTGCTGCACTTACCACATTGTTACATATTACTTTTTTGTATTTTTTCACTAAAATAGTCCCTCGACCAAATTAAACTTATTTCAGTTATCCCATGTTGTTCATCACTGAAATAAGTATGTCATGGCCAACTGTCCTAGAAGAACTGATTGCCGAGGTTAAAATAAATAGCAAAAAACCGCGAGTAAGTTCTCCCACACGCCGGGTGTTTCAATTTATATGAAATATTGGCAATGGTCTACATAAAGCTTTCCTAACACCACAAGTCAGAGCAGGATTGACATCCACTATCCGAGCAATCCAGACATGATATTACTGTACTCTTTCGAGAGTTAACAGACAAAAGAAGGTCAACTGTATCGAAACTGGGAGAACTAACTGGGATAAATACCGTAGAAAATTAGAAGAATATATCAGTCTACAAGTAAACCTCAAAATAAGAAGGGAGGTAGATGAAACACTAACAGCCTTAAACAACAATCTCATAGGGGCCTTACAAAATGCCACACCTACGAACAATAACAATATAGGTAGAAAAGCCGAATACATCCCAGCTTAAATAAAAAAGTTGTAGCTCAAAAAAGGAAAGCTAGGACCAAATGGCACCGAACTGATGGCCCAGCAAACAAGACTACATTAAACAGGCTAAGCAATCAACTCAAATCCAAACTTAAAGAGGCACAAGAACTGTCATTTACAAAGTACATAACAAATCTTAATCGGCACGATAACTTAATATTCAAACCGATCAAAAACTAACATAAAAACTCCGGTACCTCCAATTAGAAACCAATAGGGACCAACTCTACATTGGGCCAGAAAGTGATGAGGAAAAAAAACAATGCTATTTGCCAAACACCTAGGGTGTGGGACCGGTGAGGACTGCCGGTAGAAGTTATACTTCTATACACGCGTTCGCCGTTAAAAATTTATATGGGAGTCAATCTGCACAATCATTACATATGTAATGCTATAGGTAAGAGAGAGCAGAAAGAGAAAAATAATTATATAGGTATATGGTGTATTGTTTGCTGTATATAAACATTTGTCCTGTAATAGGAGTATAGTAAATGAAGGATTGTATCAATATTTTAATGAAAAGATATATTTTTATTTTCATATAATGTATAAAAGGAGTTGAATGCAAAAACATTTTTTTACACATACTCTACAGTAAATTCATAGTTGTCATTAATGTAAAATATAATTAATAATTAATAATTAATATAAAAATTACAATACAATAAATACACTGCAACATAATTCAATATAATAATACAATATAAATTAAAATACAATATTCATAAGTATTTAAAACTGCCAATATACATAACTTACTTTACGAAGATAAAAATAAAAAACCAACAACTCGGATTATGTTGTGAATTTTTCATTTTATTTTAAAATTTAATAATTTTTGCATATATTACATAGATTTAATAAGATTAACGTGGGGTTTTTAAATATTTCAAAAACAAAAAAGAAAAATTCATATTGGGATTCGAACTCACAAACACCAGCGTATGAACCAAACACGTAAAAATTTGCCAATTAGACATTACACTGACGGATTTCAAAACTGACAGTTCTCAGTCAAACAGTGATTATTTTGAAATACAAAAGCCTAAAATAATTATAAACGTTTAATAAATAATCCAAAACATATCACATAAATAATAATATTGATACATATTATATTATATATAATATTATATATATATATATATATATATATATTATATATATATATATATATATACAAAAGGAAAGTTTTTATTTTCGAGAGAGGAAGAGAGAGAAAATATATCTTCTGTCTCTCTCTTACTCATTATCTTACATATGTAATGGTTTCACAGATTCACTCTCATGCAAATTTCCAACGCCAACCGTGCGTATAGAAGTATAACTTCAAAAACTGTATTGAAAGATTTTTACAAAACCAATGATACATATATAGGTTAATATTTTGTCTATTTCGTTGTATGTGTTTGTAATTCAGTGAATAGGGGCAGACAATGTGTTTGAAATATTTCTAAAACCGTATTGTCTCTTAAACCATTTTCCCGGCAATATATAGGAAGTTTTCATATTTAACGCTATGTTAAGGTAAGTATATAATTATATTCACAACCAAGAAAGAGCGCTCAAAATGTATTAGCACGTCATACTTCCGAAACATATTAATTGGCCAAAGGATTGTACACTAACCGTAGGAAGAGTAGGAATCTAGTTGTACAGTTGCGGTCACGAATAGTTTACAGGTTCACGTATCTAGGAGCCCATTTTTTAAATTTTTACTTCGTTTAAACGCACCTTTTACGTCAAAGTGACGTTGCCAGTGGTGTACTAGCTAGAATAGGTAGATTAAAATTAAAATATCAAAATATTTTACAAAATGAAAAATATAGAAAACAGTTTTTTGAATAAAATGGATTATGATCTTAATAACGAAAATAAAGAAGTCTTTTTTTTTAATATGCATTTTATTTTAAATCTATTTTATATTAAATAACGATAAACAATGATAAATAATAATTAATATTTGGTGGAAGCCCCATTCTTGTCAATACAATTTTGCAGTCTTCTGTTCATAGATAGCACCAATCCCCTCATGTTATAGTTAACAAGCTCTTCCCATGCCTGCTCAATTGCTTCCCATAATTCAATTCTATTCCGTGGTCTAAGGTTTCTTTCATTTAGTTTCTTTGTTAACTCTGCCCACACATTTTCGACGGGGTTAAAGTCTGCACTACGGGAAGGCCACGGAAGAACATTAACATCAGTTTCTTCTAGCCATTCTCGAACAATTCTACTCGTATGCACCGGGCAATTGTCATGTTGGAAGATAAAGTCGTTGTTGGGGAATCTCTGGATCACCGATGGCAACATTGTGTGCTCAATAATATGTTTGTAATATAATCCTGTTAACTTCTCCTCTACATGATAACAAACGCCCGGGCCTTCGGCACTTATCCATCCCCATACGTTGACAGAGAATCCTCCACTATTTCTTAAATGATGCGTATACTGTTCATCATACCTATGATTTCTCGGCCTATAAACTCTTATTCGACCATTATTATACGACTGAAATACTTTTTCATCGGAAAATACAACCCTAGACCAAAAATTCTCATCGCGGTTTATAAATTCATTACAAAATTCAACTCGTCTCCTCTTGTGATCCTCAGTCAAAAAAGGTTTCCGTGCAGCTACACAATTTAGCAGTCCACTTGCTTTAATTCTTCGACGTGCAGTGCGAATACTGCCTGGAAACGCTGCCTCTTCTCTTGCCTTTTGAGCTGTGGCAAAAGGAGATTCTCTCAAATAATCTACTAACATCTCATCCTGTTGATCTGTGGAAATCTTCTGCCCTCCTGAACCGCCCAACCGTGCTATAGAGTGAAAATTATCCCATCTTTGTTTAATCTTCCATATGCACATATGACTCACGTTCAAATCAGCAGCAACTTGCCTTAGTGACCAACCTTCTTCGAGTTTGGCAATTGCTCTTGCTTTTTGCGCATAATTCAAATGTATTCTAACCATTTTGGAAGAGTTTAATATACTTTTATTTTATTGTTGAACACTCGCGAAAGCATTGACGTTTTGAAATTTTTTGACTTTGACATTTATCAAATCCGTACGACACTGCAATTTTACAGTATTACAATATAAAAAGTAAGGTGTAAACTATTCCGTGACCGCAACTGTACCTAGCCTGTGTAGGCAAAGATCAGGATCTGTTCAGGCCCGACCCGTTTTTTCTTGACTGTGAATAGATTATACTTCCTGTATTAATTTATCGATCTATCTTCTATCTATCCATCTATCTATCGTGTCTTATTCTATTCGTTCTTACAGGCCTCGCCCTGTCTCCCCCGCTAGAATTTATACTCAACAGTTGTTATTCATCTTGTTCCAGCATGTTTTTAATGATGGCTACAGCGCTCATCAATTTGTTTTAATGGGTTTTGTCCGCTTTTGATCGAAGTTTCATCTGTGTTTGTCGTTTTCGTTTTACCACAGATCACCACCAATTTTTTTTTCATCTACCAAGACCATGGACGTATAAATAAAGACCTTTATCTTTATTTATACGTCCATGACCAAGACAGAAACAATTTACGGTTAGGCAAGTACCTTGAATCATCAAATATGAGATTTCCTCATTATGCAACGCCAAGGAAAATATCTATTCTCCGTACAAAAAGGACCTCTTCTGCGACCTATAATGTCCCAAACCAATATTTACTGGTCAAATCTAATGAAGCTTTTGTTTTTTTCATACTCTCAAGATCGTTCGCGAATTTATCACTTCAGACAACGTTCCTGCGTATGTAATAAAAAATCACTATTTTTGTAGGTTAGAACTAAGTACCGGTAGGAATATAGGAACAAAAGTGGTTACACCGGAAAGTAAATGTCCAGAGTTGTTAGCGAATTATTGCGATATGTTGTTGCGAAGAACCCCGCTATCGAAAAGGCTGACTAGTGAAGAGATTGAAAGTAGGTTAAGAGATGTACTTTTAGTATTGAAATATGTATCAAATAAGGATGTTTTTATGCGGTATCATAAAGCCCATCTTACACGGAGATTAATTTTGGATGCTAGGTAAGTTACGAAAGAATTTTATATTAAAATATTATAAAACATTTTCTTTGCTTTTTTTGTAGCGCCGATAGTGAAAAAGAAGAAGACATGGTCGAATGGTTGCGAGAAGTTGGCATGCCGGCCGATTATGTAAATAAACTAGCCAGAATGTTCCAAGATATCAAAGTCAGCGAAGATCTTAATGGCCAATTCAGGACGTCGAATGCTCGACATGACGCCATTAATATAAAAATATTAAATGCTGGCGCCTGGGCTAGAGGTTCTGAGAGGGTCACCGTTAGTTTACCCGTAGAATTAGAAGATTATATTCCCGAAGTCGAAGAGTTTTATAAGAAAAAACATTCTGGAAGGAAGTTGCAATGGTAAGTCTACATTTCTAACATATATTTTGTATTGTATTATAACGTAAGCAGCGCAGAATAGATCTGAATGAAGGTTTTTCGAGGAGGCCTATGTTCAGCAGTGATTCATCTGATTCATCTTACTTCATGAGTACTGATTCATCAAAAAGATTCCAAAGGTACAACTGAATTGGGCGCCATCCGTTATTTATACTCGTGAAAAAACGAGCTCAGAGAGAGAAATAAAATGAAAATTTTAAAACAAAGCTAACCCTTATTATTTTCTAACGAACAAAAAGTTATTAAAAGATTCTAGGAGAAGCTCTCGGATTTGGCAAGGCCAAAATCGGAACTACTATGAACTGCAGTTAGATTTAGATGTTTCCGTACTCGGCGGATAGATGGCGGGAGTAACATTAATTATTTACATATTTATTAGAAATTATAATAATAAATTTTTTAAATTTTGAAAAATAATTTCAAACTATTGAAGTGGATAAAATTATTTTGCTAAGCAAACTAAGCCTCCATGCATCTATCAACTCTTTATTAGAAGAAAATTTATGACCTTTTTAATTTGAGGAATCGGGCATAGTCGGATCCGGTGAATAAGTGGGGTGTTAGGAGTAATTCGAACACTAAATTAAAATACCTTTGGATAACTTTCCGCGTCTTTTATTAATATTTTTTCCGTAGAGTGGTCGTAATTATTTCGCGCAGCAGCGGAGAGAGAAAGGTTTCAGGAAATTGTAAACATGATGACGGCCAACGTCTGAATACGGACACGGCACCCAAAGAGAAGAAGGTCGTACTTCTTGATAATCACAAAAACCTTAAGAAAAACGTTTCCAGCATAGTTTTGAACACAAATTTTGTTCGGCCTTGGGGAACCAGAATATCTACGTTCCATCGATTGTTGCTCTCTGTCTGGATCGTAGAAATGTATCATACATAGTAATAACACGGATAAGAAGCTTGCATCTTTTTCAAACCGAGCACAGATTAACATTCAAACATTTTTAGGATACATTTTGCAGAAATTTTTCCGTGGCCATACCGACGTGAACTATCTTTTGTCTGCTAGCACATAGCACACATGTATTTAAAAATAATATCTGTAGAAAGAGTCGTCATATTATACCAAACGCATGTTTTGTTTCAGGTATCACCATATGAGTAACGGAACCATAACATTCGCAACTGTCGGTGGCAAATTCGACCTCGATGTCACCACTTTTCAAATGGCTGTACTATTCGCATGGAACCAAAGACCTCACGATAAGATTAGTTACGAAAATCTCCGATTAGCTACCGAGTTACCGGACGCGGAGTTACGGAGGACGTTGTGGTCTCTAGTCGCATTTCCAAAGTTGAAACGTCAGCTGTTATACTATTCGCCAACGGTAACCGCCCCCAAAGATTTCACCGAGCATACAGTATTTTGGGTTAATCAAGATTTTGCTTTAATTAAGAATGGAAAATCACAGAAAAGGGGAAAGGTAAGATGTTTAAATATTTTTATTAATAGCGATAAATATTTTCGTTTTTGACATAAACTATTATGAAAATAGAAGGTAATGTCATCATTCTCTTTGCTTTTGTCTTTAAATCGGAGATTCCCAAAGTTTATTGGACTGCAGCTCATCTCAAAAAACTTCCAAATTCCAATCTGCATGAAAAAAAAAAAACTGTTCAAATGAGAAAAACAAATATTCTATTACATTTTATTGGCAATTAATTACAAGGATTACTACACTTGGGAGCAAAAACATCGACTCAACTCACTGATGTTGTGTTTTATTGAATTAAAACAACTAATGCAAAAAAATATCTATTATAGAGCTTCCAAAAAATAATTATTTTATGCAAATTGGCAACGTTTTGTAAAATTTGTCTACTTCTGCATGGCACAGGGAAAGTAACAAACATTGTAACGGGCATGTTCTGCGCAATGTAGACCTCTATGAGTTTGTCCTTGGTCGTCTTCAGTTGCTTTTCAAACTTAGACGTGTGTGTACACTTCTAAGTGTAGTAAGTGAATATTTTATAAATTAATACTTTTCCAGTCTGCAGTCTCAAGTGATTACCGTCGATACCAGGAGACCGGTAGCTACAGTCGATGACCAGGTTCAGGACGGCGACGTGTAACGGCAAAGAGAGATGATCGATTCACTGTTCAAGTGCCTTTCGGAACGGTACGCGAGATGAGCTTCAATAATCCTTGAGGAATGCACGAGGTGTCACTGTCACTCAGTGGATAGTTGGGACAAGACTTAATTCTGCCACTTTGACTCACACACAAGCTAAAACAGTTCCCAAATTGAGCGCACGTCAGAAACAAACTCGACTTCAGTTTTCCCGACAACACGTTGGTTGTGGACCTTGTAATTGGAGCAGAGTATTATTCTCTGATTAAATGTGCTTGTATAACAATGACAAGACGACGCATCTATCGGAGGCCTGGGAAACGATTGCTCAGTGCTGCAGTATCGAAACAGTGAGCTATGGAGATGATTCGTGTATGTTTTGGGATGGTATATCTTTAGAAGGAAAAACAGAGCTTCTGTTCTTGCCCGATGGAGGTCGCGGAGGGGTTTGACAGCTTTTAACAGGAGAGGGATTGTACCAAATCATTTTGGTATAAACTTTTCCTCTTTATGCAAATTTTTACACACTATTAGTATAAAAAGATTTTTACTATTTTTTAAATCTATTTTATCTTGTCGTCGGCATGCAATTATTCATTTTTTCAAGACGACTTTGTTTTTTGATGAGAATCGAAAGTAACGTATGTCAGTGCCTTTTGTTTTTCTATTATAATTGCCACAATATATATACATAGTTTTTAAATACAAACCTAAATTTCAAATAAATCACCGGCGAATTACTATATCTAATCATTATCAAAAGCCACGAATAGCTGTCTAATGTGTTTCGCGCTTTATTGTTGCTTCGCCGTGATGGCACTGCACAAAGCGACTCGTTTAGGATTTTGATCTAGCATACCAGTGTAAGTGTATCGTGTTACTAGGTGGGGTTTCTGGAGCTTTAGAATATAAGCACTCAATATCACCAAATGGGCAGGAAGGACCAGGAAAACTTCATCCACTTATCCATTCCCACGGTGTCTTACGGAGGATCTTCGACCAGTCTATTCGAAATACCCTCTACCTATATTCTATCTTCGGTGAATAATTAACATTTCTCACATGGAAATAAAATAAAACAAAGTTTAGGAAGTGGATAAGGTCCAGCTACAGAGTCTCAGTGTTTGGAGAACCGGAGCAGAGCCCCGGCAACGGACTCTCAGGGTGCAACGGCATTTTCTGATCACTTGGCCAATAAAAAAGTCCGAAGATGTTTTGAGGCGGTGGTGACGTGCATCGGGGTGCGTATTAGTCTACGATTAAAGCCTCCGGTGCCATCAATTGAAGTACATCTTAGAGCCGCTAAATATAGCCTTAGACCCTCGTTTACTATGATAGCTCTAGGATGCAATACCGTATTTGTAAATAATAAATATCATAAAATTATTTTAATTACAATAATGAAATTTTAGATAATTTTTTTATATTTTTAGGTAAATTTGATAGGACGACTACAACTGAGTACCGAGAGATCCCAATTAGAAGATAACCAATCTATAGTACAACTCAGGATCCTTAGAACGCAAGAGGCGATAATAAAGATATTAAAAATGCGTAAGAAAATATCGAACGCCGCCCTACAGGCGGAACTCGTAGATATTTTAAAAAACATGTTCTTCCCTTCTAAAAAAATGATCAAAGAACAATTGGAATGGCTTATCGAACACAAATATATGCGAAGGGACGACGACGATATAAATACGTTCATTTATATGGCATAACTTGTTAATACCAACAATTTAAACGAATTTTGTTATAAATGTGTTACATTGGGCTTCGGTTTGTGAAGAGTGAATAGGTACATGTGCAGATGTTCATGAATAATTTTAACTAGTATCCGAATAAATATAAATATTTAAGATTTTGGTTTGGAAAACTGGTTTTCCAAAATATCAACGAAATTTATTATTATCACAATTAAGTTTTAACTTCTTTTCTAAACCGACTTATTTTTTAATTAAATCAGGTGCAGCAAAGTAAAATTACGATGTCGTCTCGCTCGTAAATTTTACAACTTCCTATTTTAATGGATTTGTTCAACCCCTTACAGCATGATTTTTTTATTTTGAAAAAAAAAATTATGATTACAAAATTGACTTCAAGATTACGGTAACCAATATAAAAAAAAATCCTACTTGGTTAGTTTTTTTTGTATGTCATACATACATAAAATTAATAAAAAAAAATGGACGTTTATTAATTTTTAATTATAATAATCATTCAGTGTGAAAGTTGAAAAAACAATTTTTATCTTTGTTTTTTGCATTAAAACGTTACATTTCTCGCATTTTATGAAGCTTTTTGAACCTCAGGGATATTTGCATTTTTGCCTTTTACTACACCATAATGGAAGATGACAATATCCATCTATTCGTACATCTTGCAGTAGAATATCGGTTGCCGGGACCCCTTATTTCTTGTTTTGTAAATTTTCCATAGCTCTACACGGACGATCCCCTTTTTGTAGTAAAACCAGCTATATTAACTTTGCATAAAACACTCTGCTACTGCCATTTTGAAATCTGCCAGAGCTAAATTATTATGCTCATTGTCACTTCTCCAAAGAATCCACGTATTGATAGTCATCAAATCAATAATATGGAAAAATATAAGCATGTATCATTTTTTGGATCTGAGTTTGATCCTATAATATCCAACATTGAATCCAGGAGATCTACTACCCCATATACTTGTAGATTGTTACAGCTTTTGGACATGGATCTGTGTCTTTTTCGAAAACCGTTTGAAATTCAACTGTTGGCATAGTCCCAGCATATGTTGATAAAATCTTTACCAATTTGTTGTCATACCATGTAACAACAGCTATTTTTGTACCCATCAATTGTGGCGACTTTCTCTACCATAGCTCATCGCCGTTCTTTTTTAATTCAGCCTCTTTTGCCATATTACTGTTTGGCACTCTGTTTATTCTAACTGTTCCTAGTGGTAACATACCCTGTTTCGTTAGATAAATTTGCAATGGGACACTGTTGAACCAATTATCAAAGAATATTTTGTGATTTATAAGTCTTGGTACTGTTTGTGTTAGCCGAAGAACCACATTTGAACTTACCCCTAAATCAGGAACACCATCGGGTACAACATTAGTTAGGCTTCCTACAAAAATTTCACAATGGTAGGAAAATCCGCTGACACGACTAATAACAAACGCCTTATATCCCCATTTGTGGAGTTTTTGCGGATTATATTGTTTTATAGATAAACGAGATTTTATTGGAATTATCTGCTCACTTATGGCTAAAAATTCCTCTTTTGGAACTTTGAATAACTGATTCCTTAGTTTATTTAGTAGCGATCGGATTTTAAAAAGTTTGTCATGATCAGGATTACCGGCAGCAACAGCTTCGTTATTGTTCGCAAAATGTAACGTTTTCTTCCCATCTATTGCATGACATAATATCTGAGATCAATCGATAATTCAGGCTGAAGTTCCAATAACTTCTAGCGTTTGGCAATTGCACATTGACATATAAATACAGGTTCCTAAGAACTGTTCTAGCTGATTTTCAGAAAGTTTCAAATGTTTTTGAGGTGTTTTTTTTCCATTGAATATAATATAGTTTGATAAACTATATCTTTGATCATCTCATTTGTTAAAAAAAATTTTAAATTCGTAAGGGGAATCCATTTTGATAATTGGTGATTATCAAAATGGATTCAGACCAAATAGAGCCACTACAGATAACATATTCATACTAAGAACGATACAAGAAAAGGCTTATGAATACGACATAGACATATATAATATGTATATTAGACTTTAAACAAGCATTTTGATAGTGTGAAAAGAGACAGAATACTGGAAGACCTTTGTAATCTAGGTATACCTAAGAAATACATCAGCCTCATAAAAAATGACGTTGCAGGGTTCAAAAGCCGCAGTCAGATTAGATGGAGAACTGACTCCCCTGTTTAACATCAAACATGGGGAGTAAGACCGGGAGATGCCCTATCAACCATGCTATTCAACCTAGTTCTCGAGCAGTCATCAGAAAAAAACCAATTATAACCGGCCGTATAAACACCAAATCAGTACAAATTACTGCATATGCAGACGAGTAGCCATCATTAGTAGAATAAGCCACGACTAATGGAAGTGTTCAAACAAATTGATCCTGAAGCAAGAAAAAGAGGTCTCAAAATGAACCAAGCAAAAACGAAGTATATGACAATCAAAGAATAAGTGACAATGAAAATAATATCACAATAGACAACTATACTCTCGAATGAGTGGATGCCTTTACATATCTCGGCACAGAAATCAATCAGAAGAACTATTTTGTTTTTTCAAAGTTTATGTTCAGGCCTATTTGTTCTATTGCCTGTTTTAGTTCTTCCATCATTTTGTGAGCTTCATTTAAACTCTCGGCTATAATGACAATATCATCTGCAAAGCGCAAGTGGCTTTAAGTATTCACCATCACTATTTCATTCCCCTTTTAGCCCAATCTAGTTTTTTAAGGCATATTCCAGAGCTGCAGTGAATAGTTTGGGGGGAGATGGTGTCGCCCTAATTCCTCGCTCAATTTCTATATTTATCGGTAAAGTCATGGAGTTTAACAGATGCTGTTGCGTTGTTGTATATATGTTTTATCAAATTTGTATATCTATAGTCTACTCGGCTTTGTTCTAATGCTCCTAATACTGCCGGTAATTCCACGGTATCAAAAGCTTTCTTGAAGTCTATGAAATCAACGTGAGTGGTTTATTATATTCAACACATTTTTTCAATTAGTATTTTAAGTGCTTGTAGGTGGTCATTTGTTCCATAACCTTTCCTAAACCCAGCTTGCTCCTTAGATTAATAGAAATCTAATTTTCGTTCTAAACGTTTCGTTTTGTGATGATCTTGGTAAACCATTTGTAGAGATGTGACAACAGACTTATCGGTCTATAATTCTCTAGGTCTGATATATCTCCTTTTTTGTGTATTAGGATAGTAATATGCATTGTTTCCATTTTGTAGGGACAATACCTTGGTTTAGGACATAGGTTGAATAGTTCAGTTACTACTTCCAGCAGTTTCTTGCCTCCTACTTTAACAGCTTCTATTACTATTTTGGTCATCTCCCTAGACCCTTGTTGTTTTTTCATTTCTTTTAGAGTTCGTTTCACTTCTTTCTATCGTTATGGTAGGCAGAAGTTGGGATCCTGGTTCATTACTCTGCGTTCTCTAATTTGTGTTTTGTCTTCTTCTGTTAACTGGCTTTTGTATAATTCTTCATAGAAGCTTTTGCTATCTCTACTATTCTCTCTCTATTTGTTGTTATATTACCTTCCTTGTCTTTTAGTTTCAAAATTTCCTTTTTACATCACAAAGCTTTCTTCTGAGTATTTTCATTATTCCATTTTGCTCAATCACATTTTGTATTTTCTCAGTATTATACTTCTCTGATCTTTACGAATTGCTTTTGAGATATCTCTGTTCAGATTTCTGAGTTCAGCTGAGTCGCCTTTCTGCTCTGATCTCTTGATTTTTCTTTCTTTAATGAGCTTTCTGGTTGTTTTCGCTCAGTTTCTCTTCTTTTCCGGCTGGTCTAGCACAGTACTGTTTTTGTGCAGTCATAACGCTTCTGTGATTGCATTATTTACGGTTTCAACATCTGTCGAAAGAGAGTGGTTTAAGGCCCGATTTATAGCTTTCACGTATTCTTTTGTGTTTTCTGGTGTACTCCATTTTGTCAATTCTCTTCTCTTTATTAATCTTGTTCTTTCATTTTTTAAGTTTAACTGTATTATAGCTCTCACTGCTCGATGATCGCTACCAATGCCTTAATTGGTAATATATTATATGCCTTATTGGTAATAATACCAATAACTTAAAATTAGATTTTATTATATTCAATTTTTAGACCATAAGAGCCAACTACAAATAACTTTTTTACCACCATAATTACTAATATAAATACTTACTTTTTTTAGATTAAAATGTATGTTTAATATCTTAAAAATATGTTCTGAAATGACATTTATCTGCGCCCCTGTATCTAATTTAAATCTTATCATTTTATTACATCCTTATACTAGATATTCATTTTTATGTATATTTGATGGTTAATTTGGGACCTCAATGACCAATTGGTTCAATTTCGTTTTCTAGACAAATGTGATATAAAAATCTAGAATCTCACAAGAAAAATATTTAATTTTGGATAAAATTATTGATGAACTTCTGTGTCTTTTGAAGTAAAATTGATTTTTGACCCTGTGGACGTTTCTAAAAACTCAGTATAAATAGAAACAGATTAAATTGTGCGTCTCTTTCTGTTTTATATTATTTTTATATGATTTTTTTCTTTGGTTTCATCTTTATTTATTTCTAATGTTTTAAAATTGTGTAAAATATATTTTATAAAGAAAAAAGATTTTATACAAAATATGTATGTGTCTTTTATTATAACCTTGTGTATAATTTTCTTGTGTCAGTATTATTTGTGTTTCGGCTCGAAGGACCATCTATAATTTTCTTGTATCACGCACGAATTAGTAATTTTATTACTCTCATTTGTTACGTGCCTTTTATAAATTAATTCATAGGTCAAGCTCCACGCTTGAAACCTTATTACAAATATAATTATGGGGTATGTTCACGCCGTAGTTAAAATGAGTGACATTCAAACTAAAGTTTCACAATTTTTTTAAGTAGATGGTAGTACGTGCATCATATTCTATTATTTTGATTTTCCCGAAATTTAATTCAACACCGACATTGTTGCCAACGAGCCTTAGTACTGGAACTTATAATATAATATACGGTCGGTAGAATCGGTACAGTTCGTTCTCAATGGGCAGTCTTCTTCAATGTAAGTTGAAATAGCTATTATTTGAAGATTCAAAAATTCTATTTTTTTGATTGGACCATTCGATATATTTTTTTAATTTTTGTATCTTGTTCATTTACCTTTGAAGTTAAGTTGCTGTTTTGATTTTGAGTGTTTTTTTTAGTTTTATAAACATTTTAAATACCTAGTGCACATCAGTCTTGTTTCCTAATTAAATTAAAAAATTAAATTTCAAGTAAAATAAAATAGAAATATACACCTGTAAACCTCATAATTTATTAACCCAGCACCGGACGCTAAGGCAC